TGTGAATAAAGAAAATACTCTTATGTATTAGAAATAATTTCAGATTTTTTAAGGAAAACATAGTTTTTTGTACAAATTGAACTTTAAAAAAGATATAATGTTTCACTTTAAAGTTGTTTCACTCATATAAGGTTTCTAGCACAACACAGAATTTGGTTTTAAGTCATGCACACAGTGTGAAGTGTTTTAAGTTGATCCTTTATAGCACTTAACATCACTGTTTAAACACCTTGCACACATACACTGATTGTTATTGCTATTCTATCTATCTCTATATAAATCTGTTGGTCAGGTGGTCAGTTGGTCTGTCTATCTATTTATATATGAAAAGGTATAGCAGCTAATAGTACAGAATTGCTGATGGGAGTGACAGCTCTCAGGATTCTCATTCTTACAAAAAAGTAAAGAAAGGGGAAATATGCACTGAAAGACACAAATAAATCAATATATGCAGAGATACACAGGTTACAGACAAGGACAGAAATAGACAAGGGAAATTACTGGCAGTGGGACAGAAAGGGAGAATATGGACGGTTTGGACATAAGCACAGAGCTACAAAGGGGAATATGGGGATATAGCAAGATGGACTAAAGGAGAAAATATAGAAATATGGGCAGAAGGGCACAAGGGAAATATGGGCAGTGGAGCATTCACAAACTGACCCTCCCCACAAATATTATCCTACTTACACAAACACACAGTGACACACAACATGTCCATACCATCATGGTTCAGTGTGTGAATTATATTGCTGTGAAAGTCTGTTATGCATTCGTATTAATATTATTACATGAGAAAACATAGCTCAGCTTCTGGCAACTTAACTCTAACTTACAAATTAAAAATGTGGAATGAAGGTTCAAATATACAAGTTATTACTATAGCTGAGTTCCAAAAGAGACGAATTGTAAGAAGAAGAAATTGATCACTAAGCTGTTGAAATATATTTTGCTCTGTGAATTTGGTACATGCCATTTTAGTAATTATGTGTACAATGCTAACACATTCTCCAACATTTTGTAATAGACAAATGGATCAACACAGCTATAATACAATTAAATTATATTTGTATTTATCATTCCCAAATAATTCACTAAAAACACACATTTGTTGTTTTGCTTTCATTTTTAAATAGCTGGTTTCAATAGATTGTGGTATAATATTCTCATTATTTTTACTCATATTTGTTCAAATTGGATTTTATCTGAGGCATATGGATTAAACACTAGTGAGGCATTTGTAAAATGGTACATTATTTTTTTAATGATCATAAAGATATATTTAATTCAATAAATAACAACAACAATATTTTAATTGGAAGTCCCCAAATCATTACAATTCTCTATCATCCTGCTGTTATTATCTTGTGTAATTGTAATTTTTGACATTTACAAAAAAAAATCACAAATCTATGTTCACACAACCTTATCCATTACATACCTTGTCTTAAGAAAAGAATTGTAAGAAGCTTTATAATCAATGGAAGCTTTTCATAACTTTGAAATGTTAGTCTTGGCCAGAGTTGATATTTATCACATACTTTCTTATTCACAATATGGTGTCTTAGAATTTATCTTTCTTGAGTAGAAAGGTCACTAAACAAACTGTTATTCTCATTTTTTATTTTATATTTGAATACATCACTCTCAGTAATGTAAAATGACTGGCAAACAAAAAAGAAGCGTTTGTTTGTTGGCACACATTGGAAGGTCAGTTCTATTGATGAAAATTTATTTTAATCAGATAAGTTGATGTTGTGCTTTATAACCTGCCTTTTCTTTGGAAATCCTGGAAATAGTTATACAGTAAACATGCCAGAAGTCAACTTAGTTGTCTCGTTAATTGTATCTTTCTATAACAGTTTATTTTATCTCTTCATTTTAAAGAGTAATGTATGCTATTTCAGACAGCTAAGGGGATGCTGACGTGACAAACATGACAGAGCGTTGTTTTGTAGTAAAGGTGGATTATATTATTACATTGTTCAATCCAAATGACTATGAGAAATATATGTGTTTTAATTATTAGAGTACATTCCTGGTATCAATGGATGTGCTCACATAGGACTCAGTTTTATATTTTCAAATTATTTAACATTTCAGAATAAACTTTTCAACTCCTTGCTGCCTACTGTGTTATATGAGCCAATGCACAAATGGTATGTTTTCTCTATATTTTTCTGTTATACACTGATAAGGCATAACATTAAAACAACTGGCAGATCTGGTCCACATTAACAGCGCCACCATGAACTCCACCTCACAGACTTGCTGCCTCTTTGACTCTGACCTCTCCCTCACCCCTCATGCCCAGATAAGCTTCAAATCCTGCAGTTTCCTTCTCAAAAACATAGCGCGCATCCGCGTATACTTAATGCTGGATGCAGTTAAGGTGCTGGTTCATGCCGCTGTCCTCCCTCACCTTAACTACTGAAATCTGCTTCTCAGTGGTCTTGTGTACTCCCGACTTGCCCTGCTACAGTCTATAATGAATGTGACAGCAAGGCTCATCTTCCTATCTGCCTGCACCTCGCACACCTCAAACCTCTGTCAGTCCTTGCATTGGCTTCCTGTAAGATAAAGGACTAATTTTTACATTTTGATTCTTTCTTAGTCTGCACAATACTGCTCCAACCTATCTATCCTTCCTTATACACAATTATGTCCTGTCTAGGGCCCTACGCTCTGCCAAAGACCTACTTCTTTCCTCTGTACTCCCACCTCTGATGCTCGCCTTCAAGACTTCTCTAGGGCTGCACCATTCCTGCGGTACTCCCTTCCCTTCTTCGTTAGACATTCACCCAGTCTCCATTGCTTCAAAAAATCATTGAAACCCACTTCTTCAAGAAATGTATTAATTAAACTTTTAATAGCTTCCAACTTATTACTCTCCTGCAACTGTCAATAAAAAACACACTAAGTCTTTAGCAAATACTATTCTACCAATCTACTTTTCTATTCCTACCCTTACCTTGTGTCACTCTACCCCACTCCCTCTAATATGTAAGCTCCTTGAGTAGGGTCCTCAATCTCTCTGTTCCTGTGCATCCAACTCGTCTGGTTACAATGACCTGTTTGTTAGTCCACCCATTGTACAGAACTGTGGAATTTGTTGGCACTATATTAATAATAATAATAATAATAATAATAATAATAATATTAGCTTAAAGGGGGGTTGGGATTTTTTAGTAACACTTTTTATTTTGCAGTGAGAAACAGCTCAGCACCGATCCATCTCTCTTCACTTCACTCCTCACACAGAGGTGGAGGGAGGTCGATCAAATGTTCCATCAGTACAGTGATCGCTGTGACTGGCCTATCACAGAGATTCCATGTGCTGGGACAGCGTGATTGGCTGCTGATGGTTTGCCTCGGACATCAAGGCAGCCTGGAACAGCACTAACCCCATGATCACTACAACTGCTGACCTGGCATTAATTTTAGTAAATGACGGAAATGTTTCATTGATTAGTTGTTCTGTGATGTTTGCAATGGAAACTTAACTCTAAACTTTGTACCTTTTCCTGAATTTTGACCATTGGCCAGTTTCTTCATTCCTGAACCTTTGCTGCCTGGGCCTTTGTTCAACCTGTTTAACCTTGCATTTTGCTTTGTCCCTTTGAGTTGTTTACTTTGGACTATATTCAGTCTCCGACCTAAGTCAGTAATGCATTTTGAATTCCATAATACTAAACCCTAACAGTAATATGAGATATAGAGTAATTAAATATGTATTAGGGGACGCTAGCGCTAACCAGACACTCATAAACCACTCAACCTTCAGACACATGGCTTACAAGAATGTCTCCAAAAACCCTAGATGACATTGTGGTATTTTGTCCTCATAATACGCAGTTCACCACGTATCTGAATGAAAAGCCAAAGGCCTGAATAAAGTACTGTATATATAACATTGTGGCAATGTTATTTTCAGTTATTTGTAAAAATGCTTTGTGATTTATGTGTATACAAAGCGTAAAAAACAGCTTTAGAGAATTATGTTTTTATCATATTAATTCATTATTAGCAACATAATAATAATTATATTATTTTACTTGGCAAAAAAAGATTACAAAAACTAAAACTCATTTCAGCTTCTTGTGAGCGGATTGTGTTTTGATAAATGTATTCAATTTTGACATAAAATCATTCAACAAAGTAACTTATGGACTAAATTATTCAGAAGGAATTTATTCAGGATACAGAATTAACTATTGTACTTTCTGTAACATTTTTGCTCATGTAATTTCTATTGTTCCATATAAATATTTCATGCTCGCCTTTAAAACTCTCATCTCATGTGAATAGGCTGTATTTTTCTTTTTTGTAATTATTATTGAGCGAACAGTAAAAATCATTAATATCAATTCATATGGATCATGAATTATAGAGTAAGCCTACCTAATGGGGCAAACAAAATTCAAATATCCTGTTATAAAATGTAGTAGAGATAAAAGGAAAGTCATTTGACAAAATGCTATAGTAAAAGGCTATAATACAGAGAGTAAATGCTTCTACATTTAGAAGGCAGTCTAAGGGACCATTCATCTGTTTTCTTGGGAAATTTTGAAAGTGATCAGTTTGCTGCCATTTGAGTTTTAAAAAACATATTTTTTCATTAAAAAGAATAACCTGGACAAGTACATATTATACTCTAGAGTGTTAACAAGACGAAGATCACCCTTTTTTACTATATCTCTCCCTTTCTCTGTGTCTCGTTCAATATATAATAATTGTAGAACTTCGTTATTGCAAGTGACTTGCAGAGAGGCATTTTGGGTAAAATTTTTACAAAAATGTAGCTAGGCAAAGATTTACATTTTTGTGAAACTGTTCCAGTGAGCTTCTATTGCAATTAATAACACATTAATTAATTAACTACATTAATTAATTCATTAAATCTATTGCAATTTAAAAAAAAAAAAAATTTTCAAGTGACAAATTGAGTCCTGATTGCGACAGATCTAAATTATGTTTACAGTTGTCACCTGAGTGCAGAATAATGTTACATAGAAACATAGAAACATAGAATGTGACGGCAGATAAGAACCATTCGGCCCATCTAGTCTGCCCAATTTTCTAAAAACTTTCATTAGTCCCTAGCCTTATCTTATAGTTAGGATAGCCTTATGCCTATCCCACGCATGCTTAAACTCCTTTACTGTGTTAACCTCTACCACTTCAGATGGAAGGCTATTCCATGCATCCACTACCCTCTCAGTAAAGTAATACTTCCTGATATTATTTTTAAACCTTTGTCCCTCTAATTTAAGACTATGTCCTCTTGTTGTGGTAGTTTTTCTTCTTTTAAATATAGTCTCCTCCTTTACTGTGTTGATTCCCTTTATGTATTTAAATGTTTCTATCATATCCCCCCTGTCTCGTCTTTCCTCCAAGCTATACATGTTAAGATCCTTTAACCTTTCCTGGTAAGTTTATCCCGCAATCCATGAACCAGTTTAGATCCATGCTATATTTTTTCTTATTTTTCTTCTTATTATTATTATTCTTTACAAGCTATAAGAAAAATATCTTATTTCAACTTATAAGAAAAACATTGCAGTTTGTCAGTAATGATTAAAGTTATATTTAATCCCCTTTAACAGTCCCAGACGCTGTAAGAATAGTTTGTTAGTTACCAGCCAGATATATAATATCTTTACCTGCTTCATTAGTGTTGTTACCATCCACAGAAGATGTAATCTTCCCTTTCATTCTCAGCATGATGTACTGTGTAAATCTCCTGTCAGAAAATTACTTAAATGGATTCATTAGCGTATCATATCTCTGATGCTTTCTCAAAATGTAGCACAATGCCATAATCTACAAGCTAATTGCTTCATCGTTGACTTCTGCATTCCATTGCTGGCCAGTGACCTTGAACTTCCTACAAGTCAATTGTATTAACAATGCTCTACAATTATTATATATTGAATTAGACACAGAGAAAGGGAGAGATATACTTATAAAAAGGGTGAGAGGCGAAGAGAGAGGGAGGAGGAGATACATGCAGAGGAAATTAGCAAAAACAAGGAGAAGCACCAATAAACTTAATAAATGGGAGAAACAAAATTGGCTTTAAAAAAGAGGGAGTAATGGGACTCATCAGTAGATTAAGGCAAAGGTTACTATTTTGGAGTGCAAGTTCAATAAAGTAAATAAAGATTTGGAATTTTAAATTGAGGATTTATTTACATATCAAAAAACTGTGGCAAACTGACAAATTAGCTGTTATTTGTAGCTTAAAATAATTGATCTGAAAATCATAGCTAACTTGGAGATGTTTTTTTAGTTTGGATATGTCTGTTTATAATTCACATTTCTCTTGTCAATTCTCACTAAGCCCAGGTTTAATGAATAATAATAGTATTAACTTTCTAAAGAAGTGGAAAATAATGTTCTTTCATTTTAAATAGAAACATCTATTGTTACATTTCATTCGTGCAATCATTTTAGCTGTCTGATGCATTCTCATCCAAGCATCTGTTTTTCTAGAAAAAAATGAATTCAACTGTATTTATTTTGTTATAACAATAAAAAAGTCAAAATACACTACTACTTCCAGATCATTCAAATATTTACACAAAATGTATTACATCTTAGTTAATAAAATGACAGTGTTTCCCTTTGATATTTTATAAAAATCCTATTGTTAGTTGTACATTTTGTATGTGATATTGGTGTTATTTGAAAAATATATTTTAATCCTAATCTCTAACCTTTTATAATAGAGTGTTACTATTTTACAGAGAAAACAAATTACCATTGTCCATAGGCATAATAAAATATTGAATGTGGACAGTGTTAGGACTATGTGCGGTCAACCCTTAGAACCTAGGATATTTAGTAAACAATTTTTCCAAGTATGGGTGATCCAATCTGAACTTCAGTGTTAATGGAACATGCCATTTTCATCATTTTGCATTTAGTTTTATCTATGTATTAATTAATTAATTAACTAATTAATTTATTAATTAATTAATGTGTTTAGTGATACAAGTTTAGTACAGTGGTATTAAAAAAGGACTCTTTTGGCTTTAACTCTTCTCTGTATAGGTATTTTTTTATATCGCAAATAGAAGATAGAATATCTCATATAAAAAGTGTAATCATTTCAGATGATATTGTCTAAATTATTAAAGATAAGGTTTGGATGATTTATTATTATTATTATTATTATTATTATTATTATTATTATTATTATTATTAACATTTAAGGAAAGTTATCTCCAAAGATTGTCTGATATTCCTTCCCCATTAAATTTCATTACTTGAGGCACCTTGCTTGTTTTTTTTCTTTTTCTGGAAACAATATTTTATTGTCTAACCACAATTCATCAATCTTTGCACAACCATATCTCTCAACTAATAATAACTGATCTAACAGACAACAACAAAAACACACTACTTTCATGATATTGATATGAGTATTAATCCTATCCTTTCATGTGTCATGTTTATGGTGTCTTCTACAAAGGCAAGATGACTGGACCTCAATGCGTCATTACTTTTCAACAGATGTTATATAGTTTTCAATTTAAAAGATTAAATATTATAGCTCTGTATATTGCCTACTTTGGTCCAAAAGCATCTGCATTTCTTTTTTTTAAATTGTATACTGAATGTGTTAAAATATTCTTTCTTGTCAGAGAATTATATAAATTATTGATTTTTCTGTGACTAAACCTTTCCACTGTAGGTGAGAAACGATCTGTGTTGTGGTGTTGGCTTCTTCTACTGTTAGAAAATTGTCAACATAGTGTATGACCACTAGGCAGCTACAAACATTTAAGAAAAGCCAACAGAGTGCTTAGGCAAAGGTGTTGAACAGTTTTGGATTGCTCTTAGTGCCCAAGTAAGGTGGGAAGAATATTGTCCCTTCCATTTTATAGCTTGTAGTTGCCACAGTGATGGATGTATGAGTAGCATTTTAGTAGGCATTGGAAATACCTATTTTTCCTAGTCAGTCTGCTTACCAGACCTTCAAGATTGCTTGTATTGCATTGTCTACTGTGGCATAGTGTAAGGAACATTCCTCTAACAAAATGAAGGAATTCAGACTACACATTGCTAAAGAATGAGGAGTCAAAATATCAATGGTCATACTTTTTTTTTGTTGTTGTTGTATGTTTTCCAGTGCCTATGCCAATGGTGTTGGTGCACTGGTACTGTTGTTCAGTACCAAATGAATCTTAAAGTATAATATTTGTATCACTGTGTACTGATTCTTGATCACATGGGTTAGCTTAGAATTTTACTTGAAAAAAATATTCTGGTTATTTTGTATATTTATTACCTTTTTATTTAAAAGTAAAATTTATGGGTAAGACTCTTATTGATCTGGTCTCCCCATTCAAAAAAAAAAAGAAGAAAAAATATATGTAAAAGCAGTTACCTCTGTTTCATCTCAAGGAACCTGCAGCCTAAGCCTCCTGCAATTACATCACTCCCCACGTCCACTGAAGAAGGAGGGATGTCAGGGTGGGGTTAAGGGGAGTACTTGGATGACATGAAGGGGGTAGAGGGGCATGCTGTATGTGCTTGTTGCAAAGTTTAAAAAACAGATTGTGCAAAGTTGTATTGATCCTCTTTCTCAATAGCATCACTATTTCTCAATAAGTCAATATCAATATTCTTTCCTTAAATTTTATCTCTGCTAAAGTGGCAAACTAGTTTCTCAGTAGGCTATTGAGTGTACATTCTGTAGACAATTTTGTGGCAGTCTAAAATTCTATTAATTAGGATTTTTAATGAACATTTAAATTATAGAAAATTTTCTCCATACTTACCGTAATTTTCTTTTCCTGGCAAAAAATCATTGCAGCATCACTTATGGGTTAGCCCTGCCCCAACAGGAACAAGACTGGAAAGAAGCAATTAATTATAACCAGACTGTAGGCATAACACGTCCCTCCTCCCTGTAACCCACAGTCCAGTATAAAGCTTTAAAACAAAACCATGGAAGGTTGGTGATGCTGCCATGAATTATAGCCAGGAAAAGAAAATTACGGTAAGTATGGTGAAAATTTTCTATATTCCTGGCCATTCATGGCAGCATCACTTATTGGTAATACCCAAGCTCAGAATAAAGAGAGGGTTAAAAAAATACTATCAGTCTGCTGCATATAAATTTATTCATGAGAGTTAACTGAGGACAAAACACCTCTCCCAAAGGATGAGGATGAAGAAGCCACATCCAGCTTGAAATGTCTGATGAATGTCATAGGAGATGACCAGGAGGCTACCCTGCATATGTCGTCAGGAGAAACCTCTGCCCAATTAGCCCAAGAGGCAGCCAATGCTCTAGTAGAATGGGTCTTTATCTTTTCCGGAGGAAATAGATTCTTGACATGATAGGCTATTTTTATGGTGTTTGAAACCCAACGCCTCAAAGTTGCGGTAGAAGCCGCCTCTCCTTTTCTGTAGCCAGAAAGGATAAGAAATATATGCTGTGATTTTCTAAATTGATCAGTGACCTCTAGATATTTAATCACACATTCATTCACATCCAATTGATGGAGCTTAATTTCTTCCGTGGATGAAGGGTTTGGGTAAAAGGAAGGCAGAACAACTTCCTGTGCCAAGTGGAAATGTGAAACCAACTTTGGTAGGAATTTTATTCTAGATAATTCTATCGTGGAAAACTTGAACGTGATTCAAATCACTGGAGAAGGCTTGAATTTCAGACATTATTTTAGCTGTAGTGATTGCCACCAAGAACAAGGTTTGTATGTCATATTAACAAAAGCCAACTCATCCAACAGAGCAAAGGGGGAGTCTTACAGAACATCCAGAACCAAGGTAAGATCCCAAGGAGGAACATAATTTCTGGAAGGAGGCCTTATGCGTATCGCTGCCTTAAAGAACCTCGCTATTATTGGATTGGATGCCTAGGAGGTATTACACAGAGCAGACAAGGCTGATGACTGAACTTTTAAAGTGCTTAAGCTTAAGCCTTTCTCCAGCCCTTCATGCAGAAATTCTAGAATATCAATATTCGAAGGATGGAGGAAATTCTTGGAATTCTGTTCTGACCATAAGCGAAAGATATCCCATATTCTGTGATAACATGCAGAAGTGGAACTTTTTCTGGATTTTAAAAGTATATCCACCACAGACTCTGGTAATCCTTGCTCTAAAGGTCTCTGCTTCTCAAGAGCCAAACCCCCAGATTCAATTGGTTTGGGTTGTGATGAATCGCTGGACCTTGAATCAACAGATCTGCTTTTTAAGGAAGAGGCCATGGAGGACCTAGGCACATTCTGTTCAGGAGTGGGAACCAAGGCCTCCTCGGCCAAATCGGAAATATAGCAATAACCATCTTCCCTTCCTTCCTAATTTTCCTCAATAGTCTGTGAATCATAGGTAGGGGAGGG